AATTAATTTGCAGCGTTAGTTTCTTGCTTAAAAATTCTGTACGTTCCATTGACTACATGTGATTAATATTAGTTATTAATATGATTAATCATAGATAATGTTAACCAAGGCAATATTAAAAGTGTTTTGTCAGAAACATACATTTGTCACAGTTTGCGTGTGAACTTGTAACCTTTCACTGCGAATATAAAGAGGCTGCTGGGGCGCGTATCCAGGATACTTATCTTGCCGGGATATTGCCTGGACCTGAAGTTTTATTCTTGGTGGGAGAATAGTGAAGGATTGGAGGAAAGGTGGAAAGGATTGAATAAAAAATTGAAACCTAAAATTAAATCGGTATAAATTCATTTGAAAAAACGAATAAGAAGTTTTCACATATTGCAACGTATGTTGGATGGAACTTTTACTCTAAAATATTGGCTTGGGAATATTTTTATTTTATCAGTTTTAATCAACTTTATTTTGGATGGGTAAATTCTGACAATGAAAAATGAAGAGTAAGATTTATCATATAAATGTGATTTTCCCGTTGCCTGAATTCATTTTATGCCTAAAAAAGGTTAACAATCAAATGTTAGATTACAATTTCAAAACGAAATACAGATAGGAATTTCGTACTGGATGTGTTTTATCGAGTCTCTTTTCGTTTATATATATAAAATAGGCATTATGATCTCCATGGAATAATTGCGCGCAATGAAAATGCGTTCGGACGCATCGAAATTTTTCTATAAAATTTTCTCGCATCGAATGCTAACGTAAAATTTGACGCAAAAAAATTCTGCCTCATGTTTGACAACATGTACAGCAACACGGATTGTCTATTTCCGCTACGTGTATCTGCCAGGCAATTAGAATATATGTTGCCACGTTTAAACTGCAGTAGAGCGCACATGATCGTCGTCTTAATTTTGTTTTTTATTTTTTTGCTCTTCAATGGCCTAATTTTACTCAGAATCTCGTAATAAAAGCGACGGGATTCTCTAATTCGGATCCAAGCCTCGACTTGAATGAATGTCTGTTGGAAAAAACGCTGCTCAATCGCGCCAGAAAATTTGTCGTTTGCTTCTTTAGAGGCGCCGCGCTATCTCGGGACGCAACTCTCTTGATTGGTGCTAGCGAATAATCCTGCCAAATGCTCTTTTCCTTGTATATATAGAATATAGAATAAAACTTGTAGCTAAGCTATTTACATTAAAAATGATATCATAATTAATCCATTGTGTTTTTCAATAAAGATAAAAAAGCATGCCGGTCCTTTAGCCTTGGTTAAATGTCTAATTAATAGTCTGAAAACTTCGGCTTCATATGGATAGTTTTTAATATAATCACAATCCATTCAAATGTAAAAATCATGAAATTTTTGGTAATTTATACAGTAAGAAAAAGATGTGCAATAAATTAAGCTACTTCCAATTCGTGAAAACAGATTTAAACAGACAGTCACAACTCATTTCGCATCGGCATGAACCACTCAAGTCATTAGTTGCAAGTTTCTAACAGCAGGATGTGTCATTAGGTATTTAAAAAGTTCAGGTTTAGAAAGAATTTCTTGCGCATTCGGCTAAGTGACGTGTTGCTGGAACTTTAGATGGGAATGCGACAGCGTGCGTGCCTGCGAGCTTGGGGCATTGCCAGCCAGCGAGAACCTAACGCCAGGCAGCATGGGTCATCCTGATGCAGTTTTGCTAGCGAACAACAAATTCTAACCCCTCCCCTCACTTCTGTGGCCTAGTTGGTATCAGACAATATTTTGTCAGAAATATGGAATTTTTGAACGCTGTAGGAGCTCTCATGGTATTACAATCGGAGAAATGAATTCCACGATGTCGATGATAATCAAAAGATAAAAAATTTGATAAATTTGTATGAAAGTGCTCAATTTATTGTACGAAATTATGAAGAACCATCGGGGGAAGGCAGGATGATGAGTTAGAACAACTGATCACTGGACGCTTTACGGGCAAATGACATCACCCAGCAGGCAAATGACGTCACAACAGCGTAAAATTAACGCTGATTCAAAGAAAACCCGTTTAATTCAACGTTGATTCAGTGTCCGATGTGAAGCATCAATATTGCTCCTGATGTCTAGCAGGTCTAAGCGTGGCGTGCGTATGGGGCGCGCTCGAATTGTTCGTTTGAGGCGAACACGAATAGTACGCTTGGGAAGCACGTGAATTATACGTACAGTGCATTCACGAATAATTTATTGTACGTACAGAGCATACACTAATTATACGTACAGAGCGTGCAAAAATTACACGTTCTGAGCGTACACGAATTATACTGTACGTTCTGAGCGTACACGAATTATACGTTCAGAGCGTACACGAATTATACGTTCTGAGCCTACACGAATTATACGTTCTGAGCGTACACGAATTATATGTTCGGAGCATACACGAATTTTACTTTCTGAGCGTACACGAATTATACGTTCGGAGCATACACGAATTTCACGTTCTGAGTATTCGAGAATGAATCGATTAAATTAAAATTAGAAGTTTCGGGAATTGAAGAAAAGGTTCGTGTTGACATCTCAAGCAGTTGTAAGCACGACATTGCCAGCTGCGTTTAGTGCACAAATTTATATGAAGTATCGCCATATATACATTTTTTCAGTTATTTTTCAGACAGTCAGAGAGTTCATTATTGTAATGCATCACCGAAACTTCATGACTAGCATCAATAGTAAACATTAATCATATTCATTATAGAAACCTTAAATTCCTAGAGGGATTTGAAGCCGGACTATAATTTTTCCCAGCCCACTTCCAGATAGAGTTTGCTGTGTATGCCGCGGCTCGTTCATTTGCAATAAACTCATCTCGCGCGCAATTGGCTTCAGGCTCAGCAGAATTGCCACTTATTTTATAATTTGTTCTTATGATATTTGAATGGACAAGAAACTTTATATCCTATTATATTTTTCCAGTCTTGTTCTCGAGAGTTAGTTCTGCGTTCAATGCATGCGCAGCGCCACGGAAAAAATTAACAAATTTATTTTTGAAATTTTTATAGTGAGCTTCGAGCGATTTTTTAAAAAAATAATAGAGTAAATAGAGTATTGCCGTTGTTCAACATTTTTATTATGGACGGGTATGAGGGTCACTTTTTTGAAGTTAAAACATAATTGTATTGTAGCTGCGCTATGCTTTCGTGTTGGCTATGCTTTTGTTGACCAGGTTTCTCAGCGTTATCCCAGCTCCGCTCGGGATACTGCAGCTCCCTGGCGTCCTATTCCGCCAGGATCGGACGCTCCCCTAGCTCCGCCTGCCCGGAGTGCGGGGATCCCCTCCAATCTGTTCAGCACCTCTTCGTCTGCCCCGCCTTCCCCACGTCTCTCGGCGTCTCCTCACTGTGGGACAGCCCCGTGGAGGTAGCGGCTTTCCTGGCCACCCTCCCTGCCTTCGCCCACCTCCCACCTCTTCCGGTTTCGGCCCCCCGCCCGCCACCAGAGCCTGCCCCCCGGCGTGCGTGACGGTCGCAACCAACAACAACAACTACAACCTCGTGTTGCGTGAATTTTTGAAGATTTCCGTAATTTTATTAAGATTCAATACCGAAAATTGTTCCTATTGTTATTAGAATACAGCAGATGTGACATTCATGATCTCTTTGAGTGGCGGGTAAGCCTATGCATCTTGTGAGATGGTTTGCGACCTAACGATGATCTTGGTTTAAAATTCTATTCTGTGGATTTGATGTGGAAATGCTAGGATATATACTGGCATATATCCCCCGATCGATTGTAATTTTGTGGACGAGCTTAGACCATAATATTAAACCTATTTTGTGTATTTGATGGATATTCCAGGTGGACGTGGGCACCGGATTTACCTTCTGGCTCGAGGTTCAGAGAACTTAAGTGAAGTTCCTTGGAAGTCCCACTGTGATGGAAAACCTGAAACGAATAAACTTCACTGGAGGAGGAACCCTATAGTTCGTGTAGTCGGGAGTTCCCGCTTGCCGCGAGTTGAGGTACAGACCCATTCTTCAACTGCGGCATTGGGCTTCGTAACACAAATGTTTATTGCTGCTTTTCGTATCATTATTTCGCAATGGGTCATCCGCGTGTTTATGTATTTTGAGTTTGGTCTCCGGTAAAACGGGCTACTTACTGTACCTAATATCATGTCGTGTCTATAGGGACTAATGGTAATCTAGGCAAGCTAGGATTTACCTTTTTTTCAGTTCTCAATAAAGCTATGTGGCTTTAGTAATTGAAGTTTCTCCCTATCACTATCGCGTCCACAATATTGACGGGTAGCATACGTATATATGTTGTAAGCTCTCCCACAACAGTATGACCGTACTTTACCCTATAGCAAGTTCCCATCATTTAGTTGCTTATGAACCATGTTAAGTTGTTTAACATTATTTTTGTAGGAACATAAAAATATTTTAACGTCATTATTGACCAACAAAGAATGTGATCAATGGATAAAGACGCGGTTTGAACATTCATGCGGAACCATTTTATTTGTGTTGCATGTAGTGGCCAAATCTTCAAAAACCTTCTTCTTAACTTGTACGCGGAAAATGCAAATCTTTAGTAGGATCTCTATTATTATTAATAATGAATTGAAAAATGTACAGCAACAATAAATTTACTAGAATCCTTCATTAGTTTCTTGTGAACGACGATCATTCAATGCAACAATAACCACTATACCATAACAAACAACAGACATTTACCACTTAATCACGATAAGAAGCTTCAGAGAAGTAGCATTTCTATATTGATTTATATTAAAGATATGGAATCAGGGTATATTGTTTCCTCAGATTTTTTTTAATTATACAGTTTGTGCTAGCAAATTCATCAATATTCTAACAAATTATGATCATCATTAATCATTTTGAACTCCATAGACTTTATTACAGAGAATCTCGGTATACGTAAATAAATATATTCTACCTACAGTGAAATCTTTGCATACGGTGATAAATATTGTCTGACTCCCATTAATAATGGCTGAATTCGATCATTTGTGATGGCCGTGTCTGTGTTGAACATGATCTCGAACTTTGTTACTCAAGCAACATCCACCATGAAGAACCCGATGAACACTTCAACAGACCTTCTGGGTACTTCGTCCTATTTTATACCAACCACATCTCAAGTAACTAACACTTATCACCCGCAACAACCAACGTCACCACAGGACCAAGAGGCTTTCATTGCAGTTGATGCGGCCGTGGAGAACCCAAACTCAACACTATCCTCCACACTATCCTCGATGTCTTCAGAATTCTATTCCAACACCCACGACCTCCTAGGGCCGCTGAATGTCACTGAGCTGCCGGAGGACATGCAGTTCAACGACGGCACTGTCATCTTCATCGCCTGCTACACCGTCATCATGGTCGTGGGGGTGGTCGGGAACATGTGTGTTCTTCGTGCCATCTTGGCGGGCTCACGGCGACACAGGAAGTCGCGGGTCAACTTCATGCTTCTGCATCTTGCTATCGCTGATCTCATTGTAAGTATTCTAGATTATTAATAATTGATAATTGTTGAAATTTTGGAATCCATCCCCTTAATCGCGAATCCCGTGAATAATAAAGTGGCGTATGAATTCTAATGAAATAAATAATCCTACAAACTAACATTTTAAATGGAAGATATGTCTCCAAATTTATTCTTGTTTGAAAATATGAAACAAAATATTTAGCGTCGCTTAAATCACATTTAAATTTACCAAATAAAAAAACATTTCATTTCAGGATCTAATTCTTTCATCACTTCCTTCCAATCCTTTCATATTCTCCCTCCAAGAATAAAGCTTCAGGTCCAGGCAATATCCCGACACGATAAGTATCCTGGATACGCGCCCCAACAGCCCCCAAATATTTGCAGTGTCAGGCTTCAAACACACAAACATGGATAAATATACATAAGAAAACCTTGCACCAATTAATTACTTAGATATTCTTCACAGTTCATTTATGAGTTTGTTTGAAACCAGGCGCCGCATATTTAAAGTGGCCGTTAGGGCTTGCATCCGCGATAGTTATCGTTTAGGGATATTACTTCATAATGAAGTTATATTTGCAGCGGTGGAATTACGAAGTATTGAATAATCAGAGGTGAGAGTGGATTTAAAAGATTGGAATGCAATTTTTACATTCATCAATTTTGTTCGAAAATATATAATATTCTAATAAACTTGACAAAAAAAAGAAGTTGAATTGGAAGTTCCGTGCTCAACGTGGGACGGAAGAGTATTAAAATTACTAGATTGCTCAAATCTCATGTTTATCAGAAATTTAAAAGCAAAGAAAACAGCCACTTTATTAACCATTTCTTAAGAATCAAATCGTTTCGGAGTCCATCGTCAATTCAAAAGTTCAAAACCTATAAAAGCAGAATCAATTAGAACACTAAATTCACATCGAAGATAAAAACGTAAGTTGACAAAATAAAAGACACATAAGTTAACAGGCCTATCTATTTACAATTTCAAGGGGATAGGACCTGAAGGCTGCATTTAAACTAGGTTTCTGTTTAAAAATATACAGGAATTCTAAAATCCGTAGGTCAGCAACGCCGGTCGTGTAAGCTAGAACTCTAAAATCACTATCGGACACCGGATCATTGCACTGCTCGGCATAGACGCGCTCAGCTGAATGAGGAGGCTGCGCACATAATGTTCCTGTTCTAAAACTTCTGCGCTTATGCTCCGCCAGCCTAGTGTAAAAATTGCGAGACGTCATACCGACGTACGCTGATGCGTACTGCGCACAACTGAATCTATAAACTAGGTACGAACGCATAAAAGGAGGGAGAGCATCTTTATACTTGAATAACGAGCTGATTTTGAAGTTATTCACCTATATCACTTGCAGATTTACATTCGGAAGTTATCTATTGATCAAAACTTTCAATTCATTAGCCATAGTCTCAGATGCTTTACCGAAGTATTGGAAAGAACAATAAATCAGATTCCTATTGTCACAATCGGGAACAACTTCATTATTTTGTCAAGACATGAATTTCTTGATTTGAGTATTAACCAATTGTGACGAAAACCCATTTAAAGAAAAGATGCTGCGCAAAAATTCAAATTCAGTGTGCATAGCATTGGAAGTTGAACAAATAGGGAAGACACGATTAATAATATTTTAATCCCATTTAATTTGAAACGAAATGAGCAAAAACTAAAAAAGCTGGTGCTTAAATCGGAAGAGGATTTGCTTTAATTGGCGTAATTATCTTCAAAATTACTAACTGGATTTGGGAAGATGAGATTCAAGAAGCCGGAATTCGTCATGACGGGATTTCAGCTGATCGGATTCGGGATGACAGGATTCGGAATAACGACATCTTCATATTGAATATATTCCATGACCAGGATATCGGACAAGCTGCTAATTACTCACGAAGCAATACATTATAAAAGTTTGAAAATAATAAAAAGCCTAAACCTTGATGTTAAGGAAGAGTTGTCATTGATTATGAGCGAGTAAGACAATGAAATTAGTCATGTCATGAATAAAAATTTTGGCTAAATGTTCCTGTGAATTGAGACCAATTGTTGTTGGAAAAATTATGAAAATAACCATCAAACCTTAAAAATTTAAGAAGAAATCAGAGGTTTCATTTTATTTTACGCCGCTCATGCGGCGTATTTTCAAGCCCAGATATATTTTCCAACCCCTATTTATTTTCAAACCCAGACCCGTTCGTTAGAAAGTTTATACGGAAAATTAAGCAAAAAATATAAGATTTTTCTTCTAAATTTGCCCTTGTGTAAAATGATGCATAGCTCTAATACGTGGATGGCACCCGGAGCTTCGCAAGCGCTGTTATGGCAGCTTTTATTGCCCATAGCAATTGGCTGGAGCAGCTCGCGGCAAATCTCATTTGTAGGCTCAATAGCCTCGAGTATCGGCATGTTTAGCTCACAAAATATCGCCTCATTTGTAGGCTCAATAGCCTCGAGTATCGGCATGTTTAGCTCCTGTCTCTTATACACATCTAGATGTGTATAAGAGACAGGTATTGGAAAGAACAATAAATCAGATTCCTATTGTCACAATCGGGAACAACTTCATTATTTTGTCAAGACATGAATTTCTTGATTTGAGTATTAACCAATTGTGACGAAAACCCATTTAAAGAAAAGATGCTGCGTAAAAATTCAAATTCAGTGTTCATAGCATTGGAAGTTGAGCAAATAGGGAAGACACGATTAATAATATTTTAATCCCATTTAATTTTGAAACGAAATGAGCAAAAACTAAAAAAGCTGGTGCTTAAATCAGAAGAGGATTTGCTTTAATTGGCGTAATTATCTTCAAAATTACTAACTGGATTTGGGAAGATGAGATTCAAGAAGCCGGAATTCGTCATGACGGGAGTTCAGCTGATCGGATTCTGGATGACAGGATTCGGAATAACGACATTTTCATTTTCATGTTGAATATATTCCATGACCAGGATATCGGACAAGCTGCTAATTACTCACGAAGCAATACATTATAAAAGTTTGAAAATAATAAAAAGCCTAAACATTGATGTTAAGGAAGAGTTGTCATTGATTATGAGCGAGTAAGACAATGAAATTAGTCATGTCATGAATAAAATTTTTGGCTAAATGTTCCTGTGAATTGAGACCAATTGTTGTTGGAAGAATTATGAAAATAACCATCAAACCTTAAAAATTTAAGAAGAAATCAGAGGTTTCATTTTATTTTACGCCGCTCATGCGGCGTATTTTCAAGCCCAGATATATTTTCCAACCCCTATTTATTTTCAAACTCAGACCCGTTCGTTAGAAAGTTTATACGGAAAATTAAACAAAAAATATAAGATTTTTCTTCTAAATTTGCTCTTGTGTAAAATGATGCATAGATCTAATACGTGGATGGCACCCGGAGCTTTGCAAGCGCTGTTATGGCAGCTTTTATTGCCCATAGCAATTGCCTGGAGCAGCTCCCGGCAAATCTCATTTGTAGGCTCAATAGCCTCGAGTATCGGCATGTTTAGCTCACAAAATATCGCCTCATTTGTAGGCTCAATAGCCTCGAGTATCGGCATGTTTAGCTCACAAAATATCGCCTCATTTGTAGGATCAATAGCCTCGAGTATCAGCATGTTTAGCTCACAAAATATCGCCTCAACGCTGCGTCTTTGCAGATCTTTGCTTCCCAGCGAAAAATGGGGCTTCGATGTAACCGTATGCTGCTTTATTAAATTTTTATCACAAGGAAGGAATCGTAAATAGTCCTAATTTTTATGACTTTTAGCCCTTAATTAATATAGAGCAGCTATATGAAGCTTTCGTTAAAGGAAATAACAATTTGTTTGTGCTTGTTGTTTCGGTCAAAGATTGCAGTCAATGGTCAAGCGATCTTTCCTCTGAAGTGTCGCATCGCTGTTTCAAGCAACGTGATCATCAGAGTCATGGTATCATAATATCCTGACCCAGAGTCATAGTATCATAATATCCTGACCCAGAGTCATAGTATCATAACACATCAGACTCATCAGAGTTCATCACTTCAGTAGCAGCCCTACAGTATGAGTTGATACCTAACAATCATTTTATGTCTCGCATTAATTTATTGAAGTTTTCAGATGTCAGACTTAAATTAGCTTCAAGCTGCAAATAATTCTAATAACTTGTATAAAATTTCATCTCATTTTCATAAAAAATTTCTTTGTCGCATCAAAATGAAAATGTGCCAAGGAACGAAGACAGCTCCGACAAAAATAATTCACAGAGCTTCTTTAATGCGGAAAACCCGCAAATGAAAACCGCAGTCGAGCATCCCGTCAAACTGACGAAATTTTCGTTAGGCCACAAACTCTTGAGATCTTGGCCAGAAAATCTTGAGATCTGGCCACAAAATCTTGAGATCTTGGCCAGAAAATCTTGAGATGCTATAAAATTTGAATCGTTATGCTAGTTCTTTGTGTTCTTCCCCAAGTGGATCTTGACTTCTAAAGAGAGGATCTGGTCACAGTGAGAAAATGTGCAATGGATAAGTCGTAGACAACTGCACGTCAAAGTAAACTCATATTAAACTATTGTAGACAGCCACACAGCAATGTAAGCTCTTAGTAAACTGTTGTAGACAATCATCCGTCAAGGTAATCTCATATTCAACTATTTTAGATAACCACACAGCAATGTAAACTCTTAACAAACTGTTGTAGACAACCACACGGCAAAGTAAACTCTTAGTAGTAAACTATTGTCAACAAACACATGGCAACGTAAACTAATTCTATATTTCTACATCTCAAAATCTGTATACAGTCTATCTTTCACTCGACACGACTAAGTTTTTTCTAACAAATATAAGCGATTACATCTATTCATGGGACATCTCATCATTCATCAACATTATTATCACTATCATTATTATTTGCATGCAATTGAAAAAAATGTGAATGTAATGTAACCCGATTGAACAGTTTTCATCCAACATCTACTTTTCTGTCAATCAATGAGATTAACCTTATTTTTTCTTTATTTGCCGGCTTTATTCTTATATCAAATTTTATTTACCGTTTACATCTTTCAAATATACCTTATTATGCTGCTTTGATTATATTAAATTATTAGCAAAATATCAAGATTCAATATATAGTTCTCTGTGACCATCTATACAGTTCTCTGTGACCATCTATACAGTTATCTGTGACCATCTATACAGTTCTCTGTGACCATCTATACAGTTCTCATTGAGCGTCTACTTTTCTTTCAATCAATAAGATTAATCTGGTTTTTCTCTATATATGACGGCGTTCTTTTTATTTAAAACTTTATTTAACGTTTACTTATTTCAAATATACCTTATTATGCTGCTGTGATTATGACACATTGTTAGCAGAATTGTACGTAATAATTCTGATAAATCTTCAATATTATAATGCACTGCTGCAGTTAAACCTTCAATAATTATTATTATAATTACGATGAGAATTTGGAGATGGCCAAATAAACCACGTCGTGCAAAGCAAGTCAAAATATCTCAACAATGACACTTTTGAATAGCTCGAAATGCACCCTCGTTAGCAGGCGCTTAAAAAGACTGGGTCGTTAAGAGGCAACCATTACACCAAGTATCCCTGCTAGCGGCCAAACCCACTCTGAAAACAATTAAAAATTGGCCACATTTAAATATCTATCGTTACATTTGTTATTTTTGGTGCAACAATCTATTTTTTATATATTTGAAAAGATATAATAATATACTTATATATGATATATTAAATAAAATATATAATAAGCTTTAGTCCTTAGGAAATTTTTTGACAGCCAGCGTCATTCGAAAAGACCTAAGTCGTCAAATGTGGCCGGAAAAATGCCATGTGGCACCCAAATTACCGTACAGCTTTTCATAGCGGTATTGCCAGATGATCGTCGCGCTCAGATGCCACGCACTTTGATTTTACGTCTCTAAAGATGGCGCTGGCGGCAAATTGTTGAATTGATCCTGAAACTCTAAAAGGTCGTTTCATTTTAACGTTATGAGGTATATTATTTCCAAGGCGGTGCTTACGTAAATTTCATTTCAATGCATGGTCTCCAAATTGCTCCTGAAAATGTGTCGTTCTGGTTAATTAGCTGCATTAACGAGCAGCTGTAATTAGTAATCATTGTCGTTTTAGTTGTAATTATAATGCGGGAACGAAAGAGAATTTAATTTCTTCGTTAACCGTGCATTGAAAACTTTGTTTTCATGGCTACAAATATAAAATTGTAATTCGTGATTATTTATATGTTCAAGCAACGGTCGTTACTGTTTATCGTTCCAGAAGCCGAGGCTTGAAACGATATCCTAGCCTCAATCACACATTTAATTTATTTTATTTATTATGAACCTGCCTCATGTATTAGGCCAGAATGAATCAGCGTCTTCTTCCCATTCCTCTTCATCAACAATTGGCTCTTCTTTGCTTTGCCTGTCTTCTCATAACACATGACAACGCTTTCTCTTCCTCCACTTCAATTACCACCTCTCATTTTCTACCATTTATTTACAAATGACTCCAAAATTCTTATTTATCTATAAATGACACCTCTTATTTGGGGCCCGCCATTATATTCCACATTTTTCTTGGTACCACACCTTAATTACTAGTGACAAATTTTATTGATATCATTTCATAATTGATCCCACCCATTATATTCCACCTCTTACTTGGTGCTTCCTCTTATTTACAAAGAATTGCGCAATAACCATTCGTGTGGTAAAGTGAACCACTTCGACACCTTCCTATTCTTGCCGCCGGGGTTTGCCTGTGCGCCCCAAAACGCCTCTGACGAGTCAGCAGCGATTTGCAATCTGGGCGTGGGAAATTCGGTGAGATCCCTGCGAAGCGGTAAGATTTTAAAGGCGGTGCTTCTCGAGCAGACCGCTTATGCAGGCCTATCCTATTCCAGCAGGCCGCTCATGCAGGCCTATCCTATTCCAGATGGCCGTTCATGCAGGCCTATCCTATTCCAGAAGGCCGTTCATGCAGGCCTATCCTATTCCAGCAGGCCGTTCATGCGGGCCTATTCTCCTCGAGTTCGCCTCTCTTGACTAAGAGGTCTCATAAAATCTTTACTTGGGCTTCGAAAAGCTCCCTAGAGCTTCCAATTCACTTCCTGTATTTATTGAAGAGCTCTTCGGGCTTCACAACGTACATAAAACGCACAAGAATTTATCCCGCTAGTCGGATTTCAGTTGATGAAATTTGAATGCGACAGATTCAAGTTAAAATATTTTCGTAAAAACTGTTCAGGCGACTCAAACAAACGACGTCTCACGTTGTTGCTTCCAAAGCCTTGCCCCATCTAAATATCATTATTAACGTTGATTAAATTACCTCACTTGCCAGTTCATTCGAAATAGCTCAGTTACATTTTGAAGTCAGGCGAAGTCTGTCATGATCCTGATCTGCCCGATCAGGTGACGTCAGTCATGATTCTGATCTGCCCGATCAGGTGACGTCGGTCATGATCCTGATCTGCCCGATCAGTTGACGTCGGTCATGATCCTGATCTGCCCGATCAGGTGACTTTGACAGGTAACGCATTATATTATAATGGCACGTAACGTCTCCATTGACAGGTAACGCATTATATTATAATGGCACGTAACGTCTCCATTGACAGACAACGCATTATATTATAATGGCACGTAACTTTGCCTTGACGCCGTCCATTATGGCATTACAGCAATATTCATTGACCAAGAATGTCTTTACTTTTCTTCGAAAGTTGAATGGTTTTGAGTAAATTTAATGGTTTCTCCTCAACTGAAAATCTCTACGTGGGCGGTGGAACCAAAAGAAGCACACGAGATGCAAATGGAATTCTATTGTAATGCTTGCCTCGATCACGCTGTGCAACGGCTAGCACGCTCACAACACCAAAGACTTATCGTCGGCTACCTTAATAGTTGAAAAAAACAATTTAATGTGTGCTCAGTGAGCTGTTAATTCCTTAAGTTCTATTCACACTCGACCAGGGCCCAAACTTTCCAAAAAATTTAAGAGATCGTAAGTTCATCAGCCAATCATTGACGGTCTTCCACGAAAAATCCACCAATCATAGACAAGAAAATAGAGCGTAAGTACTTACGTTCACTTAGCGAGTTTTGAAAGAATGGCCCCAGTGCTACAACTTAGCCAACTCTTCCGATTCACTGCGGCCTGTAACAGTTTCTTCGGGCAAGCAAATTTGGATCCGGGGGCGGCTATCGTAAAGCGGCGCGCCAAATTCAAGCTTCAACGTAAATCGGGGTAACTTTAATTGCTTTATTATCTGTCGAAATAAATTTTATTTATACTTTTGCCGTACTATAAACAATAGTTACTAGTTCGTAACTCTGCCAGTCAATCACTGACGGCTTTTCAAGCTAAACCAACCAATCACTGATGCGAAATCGACTGGTACGTTTACTTCAGCTGCTACGTGTACCTGTGCGAGTTTCGATTAAATAGACGCATTGTTAGCATATTGCTGTCATGAACCCATGATCGCTGCCTTGTGAGCACTTTTGTGGGGCCCAGGCAGGCTAAATTGCAAACAATTGTGACAATATTCCGCCGTGAATTTTGCCAAAGAATTCGATCCGGGGCCATACTTTCAAAACTCGCTAAGTGAACGTAAGTACTCACGCTCTATTTTCTTCTCTATGATTGGTGGATTTAGCTTGAAAGGCCGTCAATGACTGGCTGATGAACTTACGATCTCTTAACTTTTTTTAAAGTATAGGCCCTGGTCACTTCCAGTACAGTAAAGCTGCAGTGGGTGAAGTGACATTGCAGTGACGCAGCAACGTATACGGCACAATAGAGACACAATTTCCACGGCGATTAAAATGTCTTTTGTATCAAATACTCATTTAAAATGATTTAAACTCTCCATTAACTTTTTGAACCTCTGAGAGAACTCAGTTTATATCTCAAATAACCATAAGCAGTGCTCTAATTTAATTTTCTTAACTGGATTGGTAGGCAGTGCTTTATTAATAATAATCTGGATAGAATAATCTTGATAAAAGTCTGGATAGAATAATCTTGATAATAATATGGATAGGATAATATTGATAATAATCTGGATAGATAGGTCGGGGGCCACTTTCAGGCGGGGCAAAACTGGCAACTTTTGCACTTCTTGCATGGGCAATTTAGGAAGGATTATTGCATGGGAAATTATTCGCGGCTCTTAGCCTGCAGCTGCTCCGTGCCACAGGTCGGGGGCCACTTTCAGGCGGGGCAAAACTGGCAACTTTTTAACGCCTTGCATGGAGAATTTATAGGATGAGTAATTGCATGGGTAGATTAGGATGGATAATTTAGGATGGATAATTGCATGTGTAATTTAGAATGGATAATTGCATGGGCAATTCAGAATTTTTCGGGGATCATGAATTAGTTTATTTATGATTTTTGGAATAATTTATTGCTTCGTTTTAAACTTGCTCAAAGTGTCAGGGGCTATCTTGGATCCTGTGGACTTTACAGCTTTTGGATCATGTGGACTTTACCGCCTGTGCCCTTGGCAGAAAATTCTCGTTCCTAAACACCGTCAGATGCTTTCATTAAACTATAAAATGGGACTGGTAATAGCTTTATAAACAAAACTATTTTATTCCAACGCCGTAGAGAAAGTAACGCCTTAAAAAGTGTTAATTTATAGCTTTACTTCACAACTTTCAAAATTTCCTGTAAGTGACTGTCATCAAAAATACGAAGGACGTAACAATTCAATTTTCTTTATGAATTCTTCTTAAAGTTTGCCATCGACAAATAAGCACGCAAAATGAAAAAAATTAATATCCACGCATTATTTAAATGTTTATTTCTTGATAAAAATATTTATAGATCAATATATTAAATTATTTTTATGTTGTGGTGCAGATGTTGATCTTCCACGTGGACAGCCACGAGGTACACCGGCACTACCGTCAGTGCGTGACGTTCGGTTCCTTCCCGTCCCTTCGTCATGAGATGGTGTACAACCTCTTCTGTCTGACGATGTTATACGTGGCACCCATCACCATCATCGTCATGTCATACGGTGCCATCGTCATCACTATCGTCCGCAAGACTAAACTCACCGCTGATGGTGAGTCCTGCTGCGTGAATTATTTCATTATTCATCGAATAACCAACATGATTTATAGTAGCTGGAATAGTAGTTTAAATCTTATTAACATCGTGCTAATCGATGTCAGTATCAATTTATTTACTGCCGCATCAGTGCTGGAAAATTTATCAGTTTAATCAGTTTAATTTGCACGTGGATTAGTTGGTAACGTTGATACAGCGGTAGAATAATTGGAATCGTTGTCCTAAATTACGAGTGAATAACAAAATTAAATAAAACTATCAGTCATTTCTCAGGTATATTTCAAGAAAGAAGAACCCACTTAACTAGATGACAAGCATCTAAAAATGAATGAGTCAAATTGTCCAAATAGCGACACTGAAAATGCCTTATACTGGGCTAAACTAGACCAGTATATGACCGCTATATGTGCAAAAAACTGCATCGTTATTCAGATAATGATTGAGCCACTCATTTCATTGTTTGGCCGCAAACTGAGGCAATCACGGACTACCGAAATGGCACATAAAATTTTCAAATTAAGTCATTTCAAATGTTATGTATTCCAAAAAAGTTAGACGCAATAAGTACTTGAGTTGAGACACTAAGTCGATCATCATTGAAGACAAATTTCTCCTAAATTTCACAGAGAAGCTTAAAAAATCGTCCGCTGCGCTGGAAGCCGCGCCTCTTTTAATAATAATAATAGTAATTTAATAACTAATAATAATAATAATAATTTAATAATAATAATAAAAAATAATAAGCTAATTTTGTGATCTCTGACGGGCGAAGGGGGCAGTTATGTTTAGGCTTAGTGAATATATTTCGTTTGCTCTGATGACATAAAAATCTTTATTTGCAACAATTGCCATGCGGGATATCAGTTTTTTGTTGATGACTTTCTCGCTCGTGTTTAGATACAAATTTTCAGGAATATTCAAATAATTTATATGAAATAAGCACTTCAGAAATTTGAATACAAATCATTTTGTCTACAATTTTTATTTCTTGTCTAAGTCATATTCAATACAAAAATTTCACATGCTACAAATTCAATACAAAAACTTCACATGCCGGCAATGCTACACTTTTGTTAGAGGCTGTGCACACGCTTGCCATACATGTATATATACTCACTACCAAAAGCTCCCTTCCAATTCGATCAAGTTCAACATAGTCTAAATGTAAATCAATTTTCGACCCCATACCAGAAATTTCAATTCAAAGCTTCACTTACAAAAAAAATTTCGTTCCGTTAGAATTGTAGCCCTGCAATTCGCAGCGGAGGTAAAAAAAATATTTTAGTCGAGTCCGAATTTAAATTCTGGAAGGTCTCTAAAATTTAATTGTTTCCCGCGCTACCGAAAACTTGGAGGGTTTATCCTTTGCAAAATAGCTGAAGAAGTGCCTAAATCAAATATAGCTCAATGAATTACGAAAAAACTGGCTCTGCTCTATTGGATTTTTAAGCAAAGTGCCATTTCTTCAACATAAAAATGTCGAACTCGTATAAAGAATAGACCAACTGACTTAGTTCACGAAAACCTAGGAGATAGAATCTGACAAAAAATCTAATTAAGAAAGAAATTTTTCATGGGGACTTTACCCAGTTAAAATTTAAGGCCGTGGCGCCGTTGTTTATCGGCGTGGAGGGCGATTATGAGCGCGCAACGGCAGATTGGCCGCTTCTCCCAAATCTCGGCGATATTGCGCTCGTCGGCGGGAGGCGATGGACGGGCCGCTCTGCGACCATCGGCGATATTTTGCGCGAGACTTTAAGGTTGTTTACAAACGAGGGGCCGCCTGCTACTTACGACCATGTTTCGGCTGCTATATATNCAACTTCTGCAAGCAGAAGCCTAAGGTGAGGCCTAGTGTACGGCATCTTCAACTTCTGCAAGCAGAAGCCTAAGGTGAGGCCTAGTGTACGGCATCTTCAACTTCTGCAAGCAGAAGCCTAAGGTGAGGCCTAGTGTACGGCATCTTCAACTTCTGCAAGCAGAAGCCTAAGGTGAGGCCTAGTGTACGGCATCTTCAACTTCTGCAAGCAGAAGCCTAAGGTGAGGCCTAGTGTACGGCATCTTCAACTTCTGCAAGCAGAAGCCTAAGGTGAGGCCTAGTGTACGGCATCTTCAACTTCTGCAAGCAGAAGCCTAAGGTGAGGCCTAGTGTACGGCATCTTCAACTTCTGCAAGCAGAAGCCTAAGGTGAGGCCTAGTGTACGGCATCTTCAACTTCTGCAAGCAGAAGCCTAAGGTGAGGCCTAGTGTACGGCATCTTCAACTTCTGCAAGCAGAAGCCTAAGGTGAGGCCTAGTGTACGGCATCTTCAACTTCTGCAAGCAGAAGCCTAAGGTGAGGCCTAGTGTACGGCCTGTCTCTTATACACATCTCGCCGATGATGCGGAGATGTTACTCGGGCGCCCCAACCGAGCGTCTCTACCTTAATCTACCCAAACACGCCGGCGATACGCCTTGGATTTTTAACTGGGTAGCGTCATTGAATTTCCGTCCGTAGAAAAGATCCGTGATGATAAAGCAGAGCAACGAGCCTTAACTGCCTTACTTGGTCCATATCTGCTTAATGCTGATTCTTATCCTGAACGCACGACTATTTGATTATAATTTTACTCGATATTTGTAATGAGCCTTAACTGCCTGATTTTATCCCTATCTGCTTAATGCCAATTTTTATCTTGAGCACCTACAGCTTTTTAATTGTGAATAATGGGACTGATTCACAATTAAGAAAGAATAATGGGCCTTATTGGCCCATTATTAACTTTTCCATGACTTGGACCTAGTACAAAAAAATAAATAAAACTTATTATGTGGTTGCCCATTCAGTAAAACTGGAATGAGAATAATCCAACTGAATGAAATTCAAAAAAAAATTGTATCTTCGAAAATGTGATGGTCCGAACACAATTTGATGGTCCGGATGCAAATTAGATGTCCGAAAAAAATTGATGGACTGAATACAACACTGCCTATTATTGCGCCTCAGAACACTACATAACTCTTTCCTTTAATTCCTGCGGCCAGAGAGCGTGATCAGGAGATCCGGCATCGGCTACCTCGGCAAGGCGAAGGCGCGCACAATCAAGATGACGGTCAGCATCGTCGCTGCCTTCTTCATCTGCTGGACACCATACGTCATCATCAGCTTGTGGTGCGGTGATGGGTGGTAGCGCGGTGTTGTGCTGGATGGTTTTACGTTGGGGTGCGGTGATGGGTGGTAGTGCGGTGTGGTGCGATGCTAGGTGGTAGTGCGATGTAGTGCGGTGCTGAGTGGTGGTGCGGTGTAGCGCGGTGCTGGGTGGTGGTGCGGTGCTGGGTGGTAACATGTCTTATTTAGCTCGATAGAGTGCAAACTATCCCAATATTTGGCTACCTCAATTTTTGTTATATCATCTGGGCAAATTATTTTGTGTAAATTCATAACGCGTCAGAGCACTACGAATTCTATTCTATATAAAATAGTCGAACTCGAATGTATTATTCGAATATTTGAACATGAACTACGTGAACAAGTGAATGAATATTCATTAGTTGAAGAATTATGCCAATGTTATATGTGAGAATGAATCATGAGGCAGTAGGTATGACGGGAGAATAGGTTTCTCTCTTCAATCTTTTTGTAGTTCGTGCAACTGGAAGACTTGGTATTAAAGCAGAACAAGGGTATTTACAAGGAGTATTGGGTTGAGAATTCATTACACCAATTGCAGCCAGAAAAATTTTATTCTCACGAAACGTTCCATTATCGCAATGTATTTCTGGAGAAAATTTTCTTGAGTTTGGTAATTGTTTTTTTAGTAAGTAGATTTTGCTCTCAAAATTTCGTGGATGATTATAGTGTGATGAAATTTATATTAAAAGTCGATCAATCAATAATAAGATGTAAAATTTCGTGGCATTAGGTTTTGCTTCGCTCCCGAAGCGGCAAAAAGGCTGGACCAGCGCGTGCAGAAGACTTTGTTCGTATTCGCCTGTGCAAACTCGTGCGCCAACCCCCTTGTGTACGGCATCTTCAACTTCTGCAAGCAGAAGCCTAAGGTGAGGCCTAGTGTACGGCATCTTCAACTTCTGCAAGCAGAAGACTAAGGTGAGGC